AGTCATGTGACTTGAGTCCACACCTCTGCTTATTACACAATAGGTGGCTCAGGTTTATTACGCAATGCTGAATAAGAGTCGCTATTTCCTTGTTTTTGTGTTAAAGGTGCTGTATGTAAGAATGTGGCCAAAACGGTTACTGCACTCAAATTCAAAATACTGCCGTGAGTCGTGTCCGCCCCCCTTCCCCTACAGATTCGAGGTTGCTGGACAGCGGCACGCTGGAGACTGATTTGTTTGCCCACGGGCGGCTGCCATGGCAGGGCCGCATCGCCTCGTCCTTGATCTTCGGTTTTCCAGCAGACCATTTGGGCAAGTCCGGCTTCTCTGCTGCTAACGCTGCTGCCGGGATACAGCTGAGGAGGAGCCGGCTGCTAATGTTATGAACCGGAACACTGCTAATGCTGCTGCCGGGATACAGCTGAGGAAGAGCCGGCTGCTAATGCTATGTATCGGGACACAGCTAACACTGCTGCCGGGATACAGCTGAGGAGGAGCCGGCTGCTAATGTTATGAACCGGAACACTGCTAATGCTGCTGCCGGGATACAGCTGAGGAAGAGCCGGCTGCTAATGCTATGTATCGGGACACAGCTAACACTGCTGCCGGGATACAGCTGAGGAGGAGCCTTCTGCTAATGCTATGTACTGGGACACTGCTAATGCTGCTTGCCGTGCTACTGTAGCTCAGTCGTAACTGTAACTGATGCTGAGACTCTACTGACTGCGTGACTGGTTGACGGCGGTGGGTGGCGCAACAGGCCAAAACACAAATTCAAAACATAAACATGATTTGCGGACTGTAAAAATGTTTTTTAAATGCGAATATTCTGGCTGTACTATTGTTGTCGGTGAGATTAGTATGTTATATGAACATTATTCCTTAGTCTCTGTGACATATTAGGAGGATTTTACGACTATTTGCTTTAGATTTCTTACATATAGCTCCTTTAAATATCCACGATGTATCTTTGTAACAGTTTGGGTGACTGCAAACAAGCTGAAGGTATCACGGAAATCTTCAGTTGTTGTGACTATTATTAGTCTTGGCACCAATATAGAGTTGTACACAGTATATCAACAAGACTTAAAGATGATCTAACATCACACATTGTAATTTATCCATTATATACTGAATACTTTTAATCTAAAATAAATACAATTGTTGTTTCCTCAATCATTTTGTAAAAGTAGGAATAGATTTTAAACAGTGGATATTACAACAAAAATTTTCAAACAGACAGAAACTCTGTCCCTGAAGAAAGCCTTCAATTATCAAGTCCCATCTTCCCCTAAACTTTTAATAAACAGCTGTCAGCGTAGGGGTAGTAACACATATCTCGCAGCTTAAACAAGTAGCAAAGACATCACTGACAGGCGCTGCCTTGAAAAAAAGAAACGACACAATATCAGTGAAAACACAAACAATGCTCTACGAGAAAACACTTTTAATTAGGTGGATGAAATAGAAAACCGAGCTGTGACTCTCTTTGCTTCAGTCCTTTGAAACACCGTCTCATCTACTTATTATCCAGACACACTGTCTGGAGCTGATTATGGGGACTGGACAGGACATAATAAAGACTTTTTTTTTCACAATCAAAGCAAAACCTGCAAAGCCGTCCCCTGTGTGAAAGACATATAGACTAAAGAGCTGTCATGAGGAGTGAGAGCAAAAGAGAGGAGCTGGGGAGACACTTGCTAATATACACAGAGTGACAGAGATGTGATGAATTGCAGTCATATGGTAACTGTGTGCAGTGTGTGCTCCTAGTCAGTGATCCACAGCACTGATGGAGGTACTGCACAACAGCAGACTATATTAATGCTAGGCTTGAAACGCCACCTGATGCTGCCACGAATTATGTAAACACTGGCACCCTAGCTTTAAGTGTGGGGGCTCATCTGAAAAGAAATGGAACAACTCAACCCATGGAGCCGTTCTCTTAAGAAAACACTGACAGCATAATAAGTATCCACTCAAATGGGCCTGTCCACGATAGCAAGTAAAGAAAGCTGATTTGAACAGAGATGGGACAACTCAACCCGGCCACACTCTCCTCTAAAGGGATACCACTGACAACATAATAAGTATTCTGTGAAACCCGTCCATGGCAGTGTGAAATGGGATGCATCCAGAGTTTATCTGCTGTAATGGATGCAGATACGGCTCACACATGATGCCATACCATGCAACATGATATATCACCCGCACTCAGGGCAACGCAGAAGATTTTATTAGGACCATTTTCTTGTCCATCAGCCCATTACTACTGTAACACACTACATGTGTCTAATGCTAACATACAAGTTGTACTGTTCAGTGAAATTCTTGGTGTGTAGTGCTTAAAGGGATAGTGCACCCAATAATGAAAATTCACCCATTATCTACTCACCCATATGCCGACGAGGCTCAGGTGAAGTTTTAGAGTCCTCACAACCATGGGTGCAGATCTGATGACAAGTTTAGGGTGGACACAATCAGTTGTGATTTTTGTTTTAATTGCACGCGTGCATATCATGCCCACAGAGCGCTTGAGATTGCCAGCATATTTCACAATTTCAAAGAGGCTCATCACCATCACCAAGTCATTAAAAAAGCACTACACAGAGAATCATATGCTTACTTTTACTGTTTAATTCTCTTAAACAGCCAATGGAGCCAGCCATCACCCTCCTTTTCACTGCTTCGCTGTTAGTTAATGCTACTTCTAGTTTCAGGATCTCGAGCATGTTATAGCCTATCCACTCACGTTCTCACCTCTCGCCTCTCACAGATTCCCAATTCTCCTCATCATCTTCCCTTTCTCCTTGTATATGGGACTACTGTATACATCAGTGGATATGGATGATTATTAGAATATGAGCCCCTAACTGAGCTTGGTTAAACTTGTAATATTACAGGGGTCACTTCTTACTTACACAATGGCGTTTTACCCCAAGAAAAAAATTCCTGATGTCCTGTGGCTGTTTCCTTTTCTTTGCCATGCTTTCTGTCATACTCTGACCTGGCTCACACACAAACAGGACACCAGTTAATGAAACACTTTAGCTAACCTAACTTCACAGTAATATAGCTAACATAAACGAACACCTGATCAATTTATGTTACATTATGTAACATTAGCTAGCAGGCAACCTAGAGTAAGCTAAGCAACTACGTTAGCAAGCTAGCTAACATTAGATAGCTACTCTAAATATGGATCTGGCTAGGGATAAGTTCCTTCACTTGAGGCGGCAAACAGAATCTGATTACATTTTTAAATCTTTTATGGGCACACTTTCCTTTTCTTGAGGAAGTTTCAATCAAAATTACTCACAGAAAGGCATTTGTTTACTGACTACTGCAAGAGCACCAGCCAATGGCCACGTTCCAGCGTCTGAGAGAAAATGAAGAGAGATCAGTGTGTTTGTGTTTGTTTTTTTCATAAAGTTACCCTCCCACAGTTGCACTGCAGCAGAGCAGGGAGGGAGGCCTTGCGCGCGAGACCAGCGAAAGCACGTGCACACACATGAACGTGGTGTACAGAGAAGCAGTGAGAGCTGCAGCCTACAGTCTGGCTAAAAACAGAGTTCAAATGGCGTTTTTCCAAACAACTTTTTATGTCGGGGCTTCAGGACACTTGGATCACTACGGACGAGCAGTATGGAGTTATTTTATGGTTTCAGTTATGTGTTTTTGGACGTTTGAATCTGGGGCGCCGTAAGCCTCCATTAGGTGGAGTTGTGTTGCTACCCACTCTCCCCTGGGATCACCGCAAGTGTTGTGAGGACTATAAAATTTCACCTGAGCCTCCATCGGCATATGGGTGAATAGATAATGGCTGAATTTTCATTTTTGGGTGCACTATCCCTTTAACTTAAATTCACAACAATTTTGCAGATCTTTCCCAAGCTGTGCACCGGAGGCACAAATTTGAACAATACACCTCTTCACATCAAAAACCAATTATTAGCAGAATAGCTAAAATCATTACCTTGTCTTTAAGTAACCCCTCATCCCCCAGCACAGTTCTGCTTTCCTCCAGTTCTAAGACCCACTTTCCATTTAAAACTTATTTCTATAAACTTTCCTTGCATGTGGACTCTCACTGTTGTGCTGTTTAAAGTGAAAGGCTATACCTGGGTTCGCATCTTTCTGTGTTCTTCCTGCCATCTTAGATCAGATTATTGTGTTTATTTGTACAGACAGTGAACTGTACCTGCTTTCCTGTACAGTGTGTAATAGCACTTTGAGAGGTGGATGAGTAGAACAGAACATGTAGCTACTGTATATCTTTGCTCGCTCTGACCCTTCATTCGACCTGAGATACAGCCCGTCCAGTTACAGTCCATGTGATTGCACTGCCATGGCCCAGATATTTTTATTGGTTGATTTTAAATGAGATAAGTATTAATATATCTACTGTATCTAGGCATTCATTATAATATATATTTGAGGGACACACATCCCCCTAATATTCAATTTGACCAAAAATAAGTAAATTAATAACTTGCAATGCTACGACAGGCAACCCCACATGGCCATCTGAAACAATCATTAGCAATGTAATCATTAATAAACTCAACAAATTGCCATTATAATTACTACCAGTTCTGGCATTTCAGTGTACTGCAGTTCTGCGTTTGGTTTGTCCAAGTGGCGTTGCCATACCCCAGCAGTGGGTACGATTAATGACAATTACCATGTTGTCCCCATTTCATTACTGTCAGATGTATCAAAAAGAGGAAAACATAAGCCTAATATGAGTGTTACGTAGGCTATATCACTATTAACTATTATAAAGTCGTAAAGTTTGTGAAGTTTTTATGTCATAAAAAAGGCATAGTAGTCATAGTATGTCATTAAGTCATAGTGTGTGCACACAGTGGGGCAATGCAAATTTCATGGTCAAGAAAATGCCAAACCGTCAGCGGTGCTTATGCTAGTCGTTGCACCTGGAAAATGTGTCATAATGTGTACATTAATGAGAGACTTTTTTGACTTACTTTAAGCTCAGATTTTATTCATTTACACAATCAGTAAGGTAAACAAGTTCATCAGCATTGCAAAGGAAAATAATCAATGATTACAACTATACAGTTGTTAGAACATAGTGAGGCTACTGAAAAGGTAGACCTACTGATTTAAAAATGTTTAAAGCACTTTATAACTACAATAACATTTTTATGAAGTACAACTAAATGTCCACGTTTTAATATTGGTATCAAAAATAAAACAGAAACTACAAGCAAATGCAATTATTTACCTCCTCTCCTTCCTACTGTGCACATGTAGTCCAATGTACCTTTCTGTTATTTACATTAATAGATAGAAACAAATAGAAACAAACCCCACAGTTGGATATCAGAGACCTGCACCCAAACATAGGTTTTCCTCCTCAACACTTCTCACCCAGATTCACCACAAAAAATGTTTTTAATATTTAAATTCATTGCTGATGCCTGTACAAAAACCTTTATGGTAAACAACTCCAACAGTCTGAGGCCATGCTAGTGGCTCTTTGAGGCTTTCCTTGGATGCAGTCGTGCTTTGAGTTAAATCCTTACATAAGCATGCTAACATGCTAACAATGACAATGCTAGTATGTCACTGGTAGGTTTAATGTCAACAGTTTTCAGTATCTTAGTTAAGCGTTACACAAAGCTGAGGCTCATGGCATTTTGTCATAAACCAAAATATAAAAAAATTAATTTCTACCTTGAACTTGAGCATTATCAGTCAAACCTCTGCATGGTTCCATTTTTCAATGTCACTTTCCATATTCATATTGCTATTTCAAGGTATCCATTTTCCAGTTAAACAGCCTCTTACATTTTTCTGTTTACTTTTTACTTTTAAAATTTTAATCACCTCAAAATTACCCTTAGTAATGGAGTAAAAACGCTTTTCGCATTTCTTTTCTTTTCTTTTCCCTTGGAAATAGTGGCTAAAATGATCCTCCTTAATGTAGCTAAATTAATAAATAATTAGCATTTGGTTTGAAAACATAAATAGCAAACAAGAGGAAGTGCAATGTCCTTTGACAGAAAGAAAATGGTGGATGGTAGCACAGTCCTGCCCACACTGTTTGATTGACATATGGGAAAAAATGAAGGCATATTGTTTATTTGAGCCAACAAAACTCTGCTGTTGTAAGACCAAGAAAGCCATCAAGCCAAAGTCCAGCATAGAGAGGCTGAGTGAATGTGGTCTGGACTGTGTGGAGGAGAGTCATGGTTTCAGAGACACTGTAGAAGGACAGAATACCTGCTCTGTGATCCAGGTACACTCCTATTCTGGAGGACTGAGGAACTGAGACAGGAGTTTTGAGTTTGTCATGACAGAATTCATAATGTTTCCTTGAACAATATAATGCCCATGACTCGTCACTGTTTCCAAATCTACATTTTTCCCCAGCTCTGCAAATAGTCTTGTATGTAACAGCTATAAAAACCTCAAACCCTCTCCACTCCACCTCCCAGTAACAACATCCAGTCAGACTCTCTCTGCTCAGGACCTGACACCTATCAGTGAATCTGTCTGGGTGACTAGGATATGACTGATGTTTATTCATACCTCTTGCTTTCCTGTTCCCCTCAGATAATAACATCTGTGTGTGTGCAGTGTTTGGATCCAGTGTAATTTCTTGGGAATATTTCAAGAAATCAGCTCTGGTCTTGGGCCCTGCTTGTGAGTTTGACAGTAAAACATCCACTACAGTCACTGTCTCTGAGATGTTTGCCCATCTCTCACTCAAAACATCCTGTAGTTTATCTTTGGTCTCTGACACAGCCACTGTCACATCCTCGAAGTACCGCAGAGGACGGATACTGAGTCTGGATGTGTCTGTAGATTCACTGATCTGCAGCAATGAGGGATAATTGTGCAGAAACTCATTGTGATCCTCTGTGTGTGACAGCTGCTCCAGCTCAGCGTTTTTCCCCTTCAGCTCAGTGATCTCCTGCTCCAGCTCCTCCTGAAGCTCTTTGACTCGACTCACTTCACTTTTCTGCTGAGATCTGATCTGCTGCTTCACATCAAAGCTGTTTTTCTCCAAGAGACGGATCAGCTCAGTGAAGATCTTCTCACTGTCCTGCACTGTTTTATCAGCAGAGCTATTGATGGCCTCCACCTCCTGTTGAAGCACTTTTACATCTTTTTCTTTGTCCTGGATTCTGCGTTGGATGTTCTGCTGACTCACCTCGAGCTCTCTCTGCCTCTCATTCCTTTCTGCTGTAGCTGAGACTATGTCATGGCCTTTATGTTCATCCACAGTGCAGAGATAACAGATACACTGCTGATCAGTACGGCAGAACATCTTAATCACTTCATTGTGATGAGAGCAGATGTTCTCCTGGAGCTTCTTGGAGGGCTCCACCAGCTTGTGTTTCTTTAATGGAGCTGCATCATAGTGACGTTGGAGGTGTTTCTCACAGTAAGAAGCTAGGCAGGCTAAGCATGACTTGACAGCTTTCAGCTTTCTCCCAGTGCAGATATCACAGGCTATATCTTCCGGTCCAGCATAGCAGTGATCAGCAGGAGCAACCTGGAGTCCAGTCTTCTTCAGTTCCTCCACTAAAACTGCTAACATTGTGTTTTTTTCCAGCACAGGCCTCGGTGTGAAGGTCTGCCTGCACTGAGGGCAGCTGTAGATTTTCTTCTGATCCTCTTCATCCCAGAAACTTTTAATACAGTTCATGCAGTAGCTGTGTCCACAAGTTATGGCCACCGGATCCTTTAGTAGATCCAGACAGATCGAACAAGAGAATGTTTCCCTGTCCAGCTGAACTCCTTTTTGCGCCATTTCACTTCTCAGTGGCAACGACTGTTTGAGTTTCACTTTCCCTGAACAGGAGAAACAGCCTGCACAAACACAAAACTTTGTTCCTTGCCCTCATGTACACTTCCTGATTTTCACTGAATTGCTCCTACCAGCTCTTGTTGGTTACACCCATCATCATACTGTCAGATCTGTGAAGGGGAGGGAACAAGGAAACGTAACAATGGAGTGGAGCTCCCTGTGTTAAAGAGCAACAGGAGGGAGGGCATATCAGACTTTGACTCATACCAGAAAGAGGAGCGGCCAAGAGGGAGTGTGTTTAACCCTTGTTTCAAAAATGAAGTGCAAAATATGACTAGAAAAATGGAACACAGTATCTTGGGGACACTTTTTACCTACCATATACATTTAAAAACAGTACAAAGTACAAATCAGTACTGAGATAACATCCTTTTATAGCTGCAGCAGTTGACCACTTTGATACTTTTCTACTGGTTCTATTTTCAGAAGACAAATTGTTTTGTTGCAAAAAATGTATTTACCAGATAAGGGAAAAATATAAGGTTAATTTGTATTTGGCAACACAACACAGTTTAGCAGTGATCCTGGTCTTTAAACAAGCTGTAGACAACATTCAGAGCATATCTGTGGTTCAGAGTCTGAGCTGGGATTGTTTGCACAAGACTCTCAATGAGATGGCTGCAACGGTGGCTAGCAGCTAACGGTGCTTACAGTGCAAACAGTGCTAACAATGACAGCAGTGTTGACAGAGCAAACAGTGTTAACCAGGGGGTACGCTTCCATGATGATGCCATTATCAGCCTGCATACCACCTTATGCAGGCTGTTTTCCTACAAAAAGCAATGCACCAAAATTCATACACATCTCATGTTATTATGAGCTAGTAATCCATGTATAACCCACATACTATGGGAAGGCTGCGATCATGTGACCAATGAGCTGATGGCAGAAAAGAAGAAGGCAGGTTGGGGTGGTGGATGGGTCACAAAACACAGGACTTTCCACCAGGAGACTGGTGTTTGGAACTATGTGAAATTTGAGTGAATTGTAAGTCATTTTAAAGTACATTGTAACCATGTTTCTTTTCCTAAACCTAACCTCCGTAACTTTACGGTAAGCGCGATGCATCATTCATGGGCGCTAATTTGTATGATATCATGTGAACCATTATATAAGGATATGATGCCTTGTGAGCGCAGTGAAGAGCAGCGACGATAAGTTAGCCAGCTGGAGACATTCACAGGGACTAACATACATGCCCAGACAGACCGTCTACCACAAATACAAACAGATAAACTTGGATTACAACACACACACAGGGAGTGGGACGTCATTATCTGCTCAGGACGCCATTATTCTATTATATCATTACATAGCAAATAGTTGTTTGCTGCTATATTAGTGCTCTAAATGTTGTATACAGAATGTTTAAATTTACTTGTAGACTACAACAACTATAATCGATTTAGGGCTTCTGCGCTATGGTTCTCAACTGGGGGTCAGGACTGCCTTTGAGGTCACCGTAGAAAGCACATGTGAAATGCAGTTATACATGTGATAAGTAACATGCTTTTCCTTAGAGGTCTTGAGAAATTATGAGGAAATAAGAGGTTGTTAACAGGACAGGAAAACAAATTAATTTCTAGCTAGCCGCACAGCTTTGTCAGGCTTTCCAACACTTTCCTTGGGTCCTGAGCATTACACCTGCCATGACAGCATATTTGTGTCACCTAACAGTGCGTAGGCGTCATTTGCTAACAGCTAGCTATTTGGGACCAGGCTATATCCAGGAACAGTGTTCATTACAAAAGTTACACCACTGATGCTTCAAATGTCAGTGAGTTTAATGTGAGTTTGCTACAGTATAAGATCTCTGCCTCTGTTTCTTCAGCTGCTCCTGAATGTACTATAGCGAGTGACGGTGAGCGAGCTGAACCCAGCATGCCATTTGGTGGTGTAACCGTTAATAGGGGCCCCCTCTCAAACAGAGTGTGTACATAATTCTTTAATAACTATGTCCCATAGATCCCAAGAGCTTGCACTCGACTATGCATTTCCTTGTGTCCTTAGCAATACACTCATCAAGTGTGAAGTTTGGATGAACAGTTGTCAAAAAAATCAAAGGACAGACAGACTCTCTAGATTATGAAATGCTAGCATGCTACACTAATGCCCACTGTAAATTAACATTAAATGAACCTGGTTAACATTTTACCTGGGAAACATCAACATGTGAGCATTATCACTAGGAGCTTCTCAGCATGTCGATGTGACCAGTAAGCTCAAAGTACAGTTCCACAGAGTCGTTGTAGTCAGGGTGACTGTAGACAGACTGAAAAGAAACCAACCTCAACACCTTTGTGGAAGTTTTTACCAGGCATTTTATTAAGTGAAATGGCAACATCTGACACAGCAAAGTAACAAGAGTGACTTCTATTTTTTGTAAAAGCTAGAGTGACAAGAAAATGTGGCAAGAGAGACTTTTTGTCACCTGTGTTGACACTCGTCTTGTCAGCCCTGTCTGGATTGGTGATAGGCGTCTGGGCTTCATAAAGAAGAGTGACAGAAAATAGAGGCTTTTATTGGAAAGTTTAGCTCCCTGGAATTGGAGACAAAAGAGAAACCTAAATACTATGACAAACCTGGCTGCTGTCATCAGTAGAGACCCTGCAGCTATGCTGTATAATTTGACATTGTGTTCTAATTCGGCAAAGTGATGTCAACATAAAACTAAATTAATCACAGTCCTCACAGTAGCACTTTTTCGTTGTCATTTGCGATACTTCCAATGTAAATTTTGTGTCTCACATGTCGGAGCAATTGTGATAAACTCTTTCCACCAATTACTGGATAGTTTATAGGGAGAGGAGGTGGGTTAAAATTAAATAATGTACTTTGTCATTTACATTAATTAGCTCTGCTCTCATGTTTTGGTACTAGCTAATAGTAAATGCTGCCCTCAATAAGACAATAAACTAACGTATTTTTAGGCTATTTATGAGTACATTGTTCAATATTAGAGTTAAGATTTCAAAGGCACAACGTGAACATACAGACTTGGTAATGCGTTTGCAGAATGAGGTGGGCATGATTTGAGAGGAAACTAAGTCAAAATCAAATTTGCTATGTAAAGATAAAGTGGAGTAATGGCGTCCTGAAAGAAGTCATGATACCTCTGTGTGTTGTAGTGCACTTGTTAGCGTGTGTGCATACCACTGGCTAGTTCATCACCGCTGCTTTACAGCTCGCACATACTGCCGTTTACGCTGATATCAGGGCAGTGTTGTCATGGTTCCTGTTTTCTCCGTTAGTCCTGTTAGTACTGTTGCAGTTCTATAGCATTGTTTATGTAGTGAGCAGTGCTAGCTGCCGGCTCAGCCATTTCCATATTGAAAACTGTATCCAAACAGCATTCTGACTTCTGTATAGAGCCCCTTTAAAATGACTTAGGGGAGATTCAGAGCAAAATATTGCAAATGGGTAACTTTTATAACTGAGTCTCAATATCTCAATGTTTGTTGACTCTTATGTATCACTTGACCTTACAACCGAGGAAATAATGAACTATCACAGTGCATGCTGGGAAGAATGTCCTCCATGTGAGTACCTTTTTGCCCGCACACTACTTTGGCTTTTGAAGCGTAGATATAAAGACTGTTTGAATTTCTGAGTAATGAAACTCACTGAAGATGGAGTCAGGGAATTAAAGTGCCAGGGAGAGGTCAGGAAGATTTTACAAACAACATGACAAATGACAAAAGTCCCAAACACAACCTTCCTTATTAAATGTACCTATTGCTGTATGACATCAAATATACAGATAAAAGGGGTCTAATGACTTGTTTTGTGAGGATTAAGGAAGCCTAGGGGAAAAAAGGACATTAGTCTAACAAGATAATTATTTGGAGATTTATAAGCTTGTGGTGCCACATTATTGAACCTCTGTACTTCTGAGGTTATACAGTAGATCATAAACACTTTTAGGGGTAGTCAGTAACTATACTCTACTCACTAAGAAACACACAACAGAAAACTGTTATCCACACAGACGCAGCAGATGAACCAGAATATCATTTTTAAAACCTGCAATAAAATCCCATGGCTTTATTCTAGTTTTTTTCTTCCAGTAAAAACAATATGGATTTTGTCTTCATTGCACCAATACTAATAAGCCACAACTAATTCCTCTCTGCTAACAGAAGCAGCTTGTACACCCAAACGCTGTCAACAACCCTCCATAAATGCCAATACAGGCCTTTTAAAACACCTGCTTCATCAAATCTAGCTGCTTTTCTTCCAAGCACGACTGGTAATTCTATTTCAGCTCCCGAGTCATCCAAGATCTGCAGGAAATACACACTGTATGCCTTTATTGTAATATTGCTTTGACAGCAGTGGATGGATTTCCTGCACGTTATGACGGGAAGATCAATTCTTCCAAACCCACGATAGCTGAGCATTCTCCAGAGAGCACAGCATTATCTTTTAGGAGATAAGCTAACGTTGGCACATTCGCACGCTGCAGGTTAATGCAATTCAAAGCGGGACAGAGGAGCAGAGGGTAGATGCCTGGGCATGCAAATGTGGCACACATGAGGAAGTTGCTGGTACTGCGATAAACTGCTGTGAAAGAACAGAGTTTTTCTTGTAACCCTTTTGGAATAATCTAATAATGTTCCTCTTTTCCATTATCTTATTTAATTTCAAGATTTCAGCCACCCACAGAAGAAGGGAAAAGGCTAACAGGGCGTGTGTTTGTGCATCCAGCTAACTTAATTAAGGCCTAGGGTTTTTAGTCCTTTCTGTCATGAATGCTCAGCTCATTGATTTGGCCCAATGGTCCAGCACAGAGACAACTTTCTTTCAGACTCAAGTGATTTCTTACCAAGATGGTGAAAAGCAAGATTTCTGACTTGAGATGCGGGCCACAGTACGCAAGATCTGCATTAATACATACTGATTTCTATAGGTCTAATTGATAGTGTGGGGATGGGAAGCAGGCCTGCAGGCTGTAATTTTGTTCCGCT